GGTTGGGGTAACTGTACAAGGATTGAAGATGGGCTGAATCTGCATAAAAAAGACAAACCGTTAGTTCGGTTCAGGAGCAGGTAACCGAAATAAAACAAAGCATGCCAACAAACCGAAGTAATTATACCAGGTTCTCCTTTATTCCAGTTTATACTTCGGCCAGGGATCTGGGCTTGCTGGTCTTCAAAATTGCCAGACACCCAAAAAAAGTCATCATCATTCAAGTCTTTGTCCGGTGTGTCTTTTATTATTTTTTCTCGGCGGCGGCGTATTCTAAGCTAGTAAACTCAACCATCTTCTTTTGACCCTATGGAGTACTGGTGGAAGATTTCGACTAAACCAAGGTTAATGCCAGCTCGGCGGTTTAGCTCGGCTATGCCTATTATTATGCGGTATGAGTTGGTGGAAAGCTGGGTTGGGCATATTTTCGTTTGCCTAAGGAATTCACAAATTAAGGGTTGGACTGGAAATCTTAGTCCGATTTCTATTATTGATAAAAGGGTAAAGGGTACAAAGCCCTGGTTTTCCCAAGGTATAACATCTTTTTTGGCTAAGGTTAGGTGGACATCGTCAGGGATGTTATAATCCCTTCGAAATTCGGCCAAGCCACCTGGTGTTTCTACTAAAAACCTATATTTACCCATTTATTCCTAAGTTACGTATAAATTATGCTTGGTGCTAGCTCGGTCGGAAAATGTTGTTGTGTAGCTTGGTTGAGCGATCAAAAGGAGTGCCTGGGCAACCTAAGTCTGCAAAGTGAAAAACAGAAGTGTTAAGCACAGATCTTTAGACCGTGCTACAAAGTAAAAACAAGTTAAGACCTACTTCGGCTTTGTGAAATGTTACAGGTCCTATCTCGGTTTCAGCAAGGTGTTTGGTAGCTCGGTTGGGGCAAGTGATTTGTTAGACCGGTTGAAATTCTAAGGGCAGCTTTCTTAGTTCTGTCTGAACTAAGAGTGCTGGTTTAGCGCCAAGATAGTTCGGTCGAAATTGAGGCCTTCAAACACACTAAGTGCAGACTTAGTTCGGTTTGTTATCTCGGTTAAGATAAATCAAAAGATGGTTTTTTGACTCGTTAAAACTACTGGTACAAGCGTTGGTTCAGTTGAATGGTCTGGCTAGACCTGCACATAGCATAAACAGTATCCTAGTTCGGTTGAGACGTGTTTACGGATCAAACAGAGTGTTCTACAGATTGCTTCGTAAAGTTCATGGGGTTCTCATGAAGTTTTTTCCTAGAAAACGTAAGGCAAAAAAAGCAAAAAAAAACAGTGTTTTGGAAAAACACATGAACAGATTGCTGTGGATTGTATAAAGCAAATACGAAAACAACAAAAGCAAGAAAGATGGATTTGAGTGACTTACCAGATGAAGGGGTAGAAGCACTGAAGATGAAGCAATGGCAGTGAAGAACACGAGCTCCTTAGTTACAAGAAGGAATGCGAGAAAGAGAGAGAGAAGAGGTGAATAAAGAGATGTAATGATTTGAAAGGAAGAACGAAAAGATTTGTTTTTGTGGTTAATGGCGGGAACTGTTCAAATTTTTGCGAAGTACGAAGGCGGCGTGACAGCTGCAAAGGGCCAATCAGAGCCTGCCACGTGTCACTAGGATGGGAAGCGATTCAGTTTCTGTGACTGAAGAGACGTTTTGGGCGGATAAGGATAAGCTCGGCTAAAATGTAGCTCGGCTGGAAAAGCTTGAGAGTTTTTAGCTCGGCTGGAAAGGTTAAAACTTTAGCCCGGTTTATAGACAGGTAATCCCTATCATGCTACACAGATGGAATTAAGGGGCAATTGAGAGGGTAATTTATATGAATAAATTGGGCCGAGATTGGGTAATGGGCCGCTTTGGGCCGTAGTAAGAAAGGCAGAGTAAAATGGCTTTTTTCATTAGCTCGGTCCAAAAAGGCCTTGTTGTTATCTCGGTCGCCACGGCCAAATTGGTTGGCCCGGTCGTAATCTTTAACCGAAGTATACTGAGCCCTCTTCAGGGCTTGATTTTGGGTTAGTTCGGCTTAAACTCTTCTATGGATAGCTCGGTCTTGGCATGTGAAGCCGAGGTAGGAGAAAAGCAAGGAAAAGCCGAACTAACAATTAGATCGGTCACTCCAGTTAGTCTAGCATGGCAATGTTATTTCGGTCATATGGTAGTCCGGCCATGGTAAAACCATCTCACTTGGTTTAAGCAGTAAGGGGGGTGTTGAAGAATAAGCATTATCCTTCAGGAGTATGAATCCTAGGAGGACTCTACATGGAGGAGTAAGAGTCCTACTTTGATTGTGCCACACGGAACCTATAAAAGCTCACCAATATCACCTATGGAGAGGTAACACAACTTTGATTCCTAGATATGCAGAGCTTTTGTCTACTTGTCTATTTTGCTGACTTAGGCATCGGAGGGGTTTCTGGCACACACCCGCCGGCTAGCTCGCGTTTATGTTTTCAGGGAGTAAAGCGACAACGTTTAGAGGAGCGCAAACTTGATCAACAGGATTATACGATAAGGTTTATTTTTTTCCCGTACATGATTGTAATATTACATCAAGAATCGATAAAATATAAAGAAAAAAAAACATGAGTAAAAATGATATATCCTAAAAAATAAAGAGCGAGACTGTACAATTTTGCAACGAACAGAGTGAGAGAAATAAAAAAAAAAACCAAAAACAATGTCTTGTAATATAGTAATCTTCAGTTCTTACTATTAGAGCATGTCATATTACATTGCATATATGATACTACTAGGAACTAACTTAACTTACTTTGACTATTCAAATCATTTATTTTATATAATTGATTGAAAAAATTATTTATGCAAAAGATTAAATTGATTCAATATCGATTGTCATACTATTAATTCATTTTTATTTATACAGCAGACGTGTTTTTAATAATAAACTGTCCATTTATGATAGACATGTATCTATATGATTACTTATGTCTAATTAATCTAATTTTTTGCATGCATGTTTTTCTTAACTTGTCATACGAGATGAACGATTCAAATCATTAAGATAGATATAAACTGTTAGACCATTTTAATATCTTTTATTTATTTATTTTTTGGTGACTTTTTATTTTGTCCATAAAAGGAGATTATTGGAAGGTCATGGCATTGGTGGTGATTTAATATTTTAGAAGTTTTGGAACTCTCCATTTTCTCTAGTTTAATAGTCATTATTATTATTATTATTATTATTATTATTATTATTATTATTATTATTTGTGTAATTTGTAAGCTCCTAGTGGCCTATATATTGTTCCTCACATCTACTCATTTCTAGACCAACTCTTTTTAACTTGAGAGATTACTAGCCAAATGAGCTTTGGATCCACCATCTTGTGTAGAGTTAACTTAAATCATACGACAAGTGGTCAGACTGTTATATCCTGAATAGGAATGGCAACGGGCCGGGGCGGGGTTGGGGACTACACTCCCCGTCCCCAATCCCCAAGGCTCAAAAATCCCCGTCCCCAATAAATCAAGATGTGTACACAGATCAGATCACACAGAGATTTAAATTTAAAAAAAAATTAATCTGAAAAAAAAAATCTGATTTCAACAACAATACCAGAGAGAGATCTGAGTACACAGATCAGATCACAGAGAGAGAGAGAGACATAACAGATCTGAGTTCAGATCTAACAGATTTGGGCGCGAGATCGACAATCACTGGCTGTGGTAGTGGGTTAGGTGGTGGTGACAGAGAGACAGAGCTTCTGCGGCGGTGGCGGTGGCGGTGGCCAACGATAGTGGTGGTGTCGGGGCTGAGATAAGAGTCGGGGCTAAGTTGAGAACGAGAGTTGACAGCGAAAAGAAACGAGAGTTGAGAGAGAGTGAGGGAGAGAAGAACGAGAGACAGAGAGTTGAGAGAGTGAGAAAGAGACGAATGAGAGTGAGAGTGAAAGAGTGAGATGAGAGTCAGAGAGTGAGAGAATAGAGATGTATGTAAGAGATATATAATAATATAATAATAATATGAAAGAGATATATAATAATATAATCTATATAACAATGGAAGGGTTAATTTGAAAATGTCTTTCAAATCAATGGTTCAAATCTGTTTAGATTTAAAAGCAATGGCTCAGATTTATTTTTGAAAATGTCTCTCTCACAAACTATCTTTAATGGTTCAGATTTATCTAATTTAAAAACAATGGTTGAGATTGAAAAGAGTTTCAATGGTTTAGATTTGTCCATGGCTAAAATCCAATGGTCCAGATTTGTATTCCTATCAACTCTCACCAACCACTGCATTTTACCAGGTAAGGCATCATTTATATTCCTATCAATGCAGAAGGCTAGGAACAAAGCTTCGAACTGGAACAAAGCTTTGAAGAAAGCTTCGAAGAAAGCTGTGAAGAAGGAAGAAAACTCTGAGAAAGCTCTCTTCTCTACCATGACCAGGTAAGACACCCTCCTCTCCTCACTTTATTTTGAATGCTTGCTCTCTGAAATTGAAACATTAAGGCTATGGGTCATTGAAGTTGAAATTGAAACATTAAGGCTATTTAAGGCTATGGGTCATTGAAACATTCGGACCACCTTCTGTTTTTTTTACCTTTGAAATTGTTAAAACAATGCTTCTTAAATACAAACTGGTTTTAGCTTTTTCCCTCCTATTCTTCTTACATACTTTCTATCATTGAAGTGGGTTTCTATTCTTTTTAGCTTTTTCCCTCTTATGAAATGGATTTCTATCATTGAAGTGGGTTTATAGATTCATTCACAGTTTAAGAACATGATTTTCCATATGCTGCAATCCTTATTACACAGTTACTCCAAATGTGCTCATATGTATATCATTTAAAATTTAAAAATTCTGACATCTAAAGGCCAAAATATTGATTTGCTTGTTGCTTTGGGAAATTTTCAAGGCCAAAATCTATTGTTATTAACAAAAAATGTTGTTCCAGTTTACTCTAATTTATTTTGCATGTATATTAATATCAGGATGCCATTGGATGCTTAGTGTCGATCACTGATTCTTCAGTGACCAAAAGTATTTTCATATCATCACTGGAAAGATTTCAGCTCATAAATGATTTAGGTGAATTTGGAAAGCAGGGGAGTTATATCAGTGCTTCAGTTGATCAAGAACAAGGCAACATTACTCCTAGCGAAAAAGGCACAAAGAGGTATTAAGTTGGTATCTTTTTTTCTTTTTCTTTTTTCTGTTGTAGTAACAAAATAGTGACCTTAAGGAAAATACTAACGACCGTACATATAGATGTGTAAAACGTTTCTTAGTATATGTATAAAAAGTGTATTGGGGTATAAAAAGTGTCATGAACATGACCCTTCTTAATTTTTTATACTGATTTCTTGAGCTCTATATTATATGATCTTAATATTTTTGAATATATATTCATTCATTAAAAATTTAAGAATCTTTAAGATTGAAAAATTTTTGAATATATATTCATTCATTAAAAATTCATTCATTCATTAAAAGTATTTTTGAATATATATTATATTCATTCATTGAATAAAATATATATTATGTTCATGACAATTTTTGAATAAAATATATATTATATTCATTCATTGAAAACTCTATGCCTAGATGACCATGATGGGTTGAAAATTTAAGAATCGTTGTATTAAAATTTTTTGAACATATATTCATTCATTGAAAACTATATGCCTAGATGACCATGATGGGTTGAAAATTTACATTTTCTTTTTGTAGGTTTGAAATTACTTGCAAATATGATGGGTTTATATATTTCTATTTCATTGATGGGTTTTATCAACTAACCTATGATTATAATGGGTTTTGATTTTGATTTTGATATCTATAAAATTGTATTTTGGTTTTGTATTTTGGATTTCGATTTTGGATTTCTATGAAATGAGTTTTGATTTTGGGTTCATATTCGTGGGTTTCATCCTATGAGGATTTCATAAAATTATTGAATAAAATGGGTGCTGATGACATTAGCATTCTGTTTTTTAGTTTGATTTTGAAACATTAGCATTTTGTTTGCATTATAGGCATAATCAGAAGCCCATTTATTTGGTGATAATAATTCCTATAATCTATTAAATGCTGCTGTTGAGGATGAGCTTTAATAATTCCTATAATGTATCAAATGTTAAACAAAATAAAATTTTGTATTGTGTTTTTTTCTTTAATAACCAAATGGGGACCCATAATCCAAATCCAACACCATTTGCATCCCAACCTATGTCCAATTTAGATAAGCTACACTGTATCACAAAGCATCAAATAGACTACTAGAACAAAGCATTTGGATACTACTATTTCAAAGTTCTTTGTAGAACTGTAACACTTAGTATTAAGGATTTCAAGTAACTACTACGTTATTTCAAATTTGTCAAGACAAAATTTTCAAATTCAATCTTAAAATCACATCTAAACAAATTTAAATTTGAACTATTTTAATTTCTGAAGTATCCTATAGTTCTGCTTTAAGTTTCAACAACAAAACTTTTGGACTGTAAAAAGTTTTCAAGATATTATGGTTCTATTTTTCCTTATAAGAGGGTTATCTCTAAAGTTGTCCCATACAATTCATTAGAGTATCTTGAGGATGCTTAAGTGGAGCAAGTAAGGGATAAATGACAGTTTTTAAGAAATGGGTTACTTTCTATCAACGTGGTAAAGATTTGAGTGGATTGAATTGTGAAATTACTATCTAAAACCTTTCTCTTACCACGTCTACTATTGATTTGACTCCTCATCCTATGCTCCAAAAAATATGAGCAGTGATAGAGATGTAAAAAGATCAGTTAGAATCATGAATTGTTTGTAGGTTTAAGAAAGTAGTTGAAGCATGAACTGTTTCAACAAAGGCAGTAAGGAAACAAAACCACCCTAAAGAAGAAAAAAATAATGTAATGATAACACTCTTCTAAATTGAAAAAAGACTGTAAAAATAACTAGACAGACTTTATTTGCCTCCCCAAATAATCATATAGATAAGACAAAAGATATTTGTAATTATCCAATTACAGTGTGGTGAGACCTTTTATAAATTTTTATTGTAGGTTTTAACCTATTTTTTTTCCACATTTTAAAATGAAAAATTAGTAATGAAATTTCTATATTGAAGTTTTGTAAAATTTTATTCATAAGTAGTATAATTTACATTTTTTTATAATTTACTTCCTTTTTTTTTTTTGGTGTGGTATACATTAGTTGTCAATAGGAAAAGTGGGCAGTACAATCCATAACAATTTAACTGTTGTCAATGCAAAAATTACTATATAGAATCAACCGCAAAATCATGTATTGCAATAGTTCTACATTTTGGCCAATATAGAAAAATGATGAAGATTTCTATGACAGTATTTAACTTTTCATCTATCCTTTTTAATGTATATTGAAGACAAAAAAATTATAATTTGTCTTCCATCCTATAGTAGTTCAATTTCCCCATTTGTGATATTCATGCAATTACAAGGATTTTGTTACAGTTTAATTTTGTAATATGATATGTCTTCTTCTTTTTTTTTCCCATCTCTTAGGCTGTATTTGGATTTAGGATTTGAAGGGAATTTGTTGATTGAAAGGAAAAGGGAACATTAAAAAGTTAACCCTTTTTATTTGATGACCTTTTTTATTTTGGCTTTTAGTAAATTGTTTTTAATTTGGTTTTTTATTGAACTGTTATTTTAAAATGTTTGGGCTTCTCTCTCTCTCTAAAAAGAGTCCAATTTATTTAGCTTTTTAAATTTTATTTTTTGAATTTTTCAAAAAAAAAAAAAGAAGACTTTTTAGATGTTTATCAAGTCTTTTGAAAAAACTTAAACTTCTTTTAAAAATTTGTTTTAATAATTTTTTTATGGTTTTTATGAGAGTATTACTCCTGGGTTTATATAAGCTCCTGAGTAAATAAGCTACTGTGTAGTATAAATTTTTATGATGTGTTTTGAAAAAGTCATTTGTAATTATATAGATAATACAAAAGGCATTTGTAATTTTTGTTGAGCCCTTTTATAAATTTTTGTTGTAGTTTTTTACTTATTTTTTTTCACATTTTAACATGCAAAATTAGTAATTAAAAACAATGGCTCAGATGTACTTTCACAAATATTTTCAAGGGTCTAAAATTCAATGGTCCAGATATCTTTACCTATCAACTCTTACCAACCCACCACTGGACTTTACCTATCACTGTGAAAGAAGCTTACAATCGACGGAGAGGAAGTGAATCACCATCGAAGGCAGAACAAAGCTCCAAAAAGCTCTTCGCATTCCTGAAGGAAGAACAAAGCTCTTCGCATTCCTTTCATTTTTTCTCCACCATCACCGGGTAAGGCACTCTTACCTCCTCACTTTCTTTTTTGTTGTTCCATTCATTTTTTTTACCCCTATTTTTTTTTCCTCTCAGTTCATAACTCTGTTTTTTTACCTCTGTTTCCGAACATGGGTTCATAGCTCTTTTTTTTTTTTTTTTTTTTTTTTTTCTCTTTTTCAATTCATAGCTTTGGGTTTCATATCCTAGACATGCATCATGTTAAAAAAGTGGTATTCGGATGAAGTGGACTATAAAGAAGTGAAGTAATGCATCATGCTCTGGGTTTTTTTTTTTTTTTTCTTTTTCAATTCAGAGCTAATGTTAACATTAAGAATTTGAAGCCAAAAAAAAAAATTATGTGTTGTGTTTTGTTCTTAATGGGTTGAGATTGCAAAAAAAACTCTGAGTTAATGTTAACATTAATTGGGTTGAGGTACCCTTTAATAATCAATGGAATTTTAACACCCACTTTTCTCTCTTTATCAAATGGAGGTTAAGAAAAAATAGGTTTCGTGTTTCAAATGAGGGTTAAGAAAAATTAGGTTTTATATTAACAATCATTTTTATTTCATCTTAATGGGTTGAGCTTCCAAAAAAAACTCTGAGTTAATGTTGACATTAATTAGGTTGTTGTTATATAGATTTTTGTTTCATCTTGGTCAGATGGGTTGAGGCTCTCTTTAATCATCAATGGTCATATTTTTACTCACCAAATATAAAAATAGATTTGTATACATTTTTTGTGATGAGTGTTCTATCCCTTGCAATTCTTTATTAGTTCCTCACTTTCTTTATTGAATTGCAGTGGGTTAATAAATGTTTTGGATTAATGAATGAACTCTTTCATATTTCTTTAATGCTTTGGAATTTTCATGTTTGGTCTTCGAATTTTCAATAATTAGATTAAACATTAAGCTTTTAATATTTGGTATAGAAATAAGTCTAATATAGTATGTATAGTTATGTATCTTGGTATATAACTGTTAATTTGATGACCCTTATTTTTTTTGCTTTTAGTGAATTGCTTTTAATTTGGATTTTTATTGAACTGCTATTTTAAAATGTTTAGGCTTCTCTCTCTTTAAAAAGAGTCCAGTTTATTTTTCTGTTTCAATTTTATTTATGGAATTTTTCAAACAAGAAAAAAAAGACTTTTTAGATGTTTATCAGGACTTTTGAAAAAACTTAAACTTATTTTAAAATTTTGTTTTAATAACTTTTTAATGATTTTTATGAGAGTATTACTCCTTGGAATAAATAAGCTACTGTGTAGTATACTTTTTTGAAAAAGGCATTTGCAATTATACAGATAATACAAAAGGTATTTGTAATTTTCCAGTTACAGTGTGGTGAGCCCTTTTATAAATTTTTATTGTAGTTTTTTACTTATTTTTCATTTTCACATTTTAAAATGCAAATTTAGTAATTAAATTTCTGTAATTAAGTTTTGCTAAAATTTTATTCATTAGTATAATTTATATTTTTCTTTATAATTTACTTAGTTGTTAGTAGGAAAAATGGGCAATACAATCCATAAGAATTAACCTTTGTCAGTGCAAAGTTGCTATATAGAATCAACCACAAAATTATGTATTGCTATAGTTCTACATTTTGGTCAATAGAGAAAAATTATGAAGATTCCTATGAGAGTATTTAATTTTTCTTCTATCCTTTTTAACGTATATTGAAGACATGAAAAAATTATAATTTTTCTTCTATCCTGTAGTAGGTGAATTTCTCCATCTGTGCTATTCATGCACAAACGAACTTCTTAAACTAGGTTGTTAACTAAAATATGTTAGGAGGTTGTTAATTTTGTAGTGATTAATTTTTCTTTATGGCAATTATTAAACCTCATTTTGCCTTCATACAGTTATCTTTGTCAAATTTACATAACCTGGCACTTTCAAGTTGAGACACCATTGACCTTCAACCGCTAATTATGGACAACATTACTATTTTTGGTCACGTAAGTTGTTTTCTTTTTTATTTATTTGAAAAAAAAAACATTTTTCTTATAAGAAAAATTCAATTTTCTTTTCTTTTCATAATTTTTTTTTATCTAATTCCTTATAACAAAATTCTCTTTTCTTATAATTTACAGATGGATGGAGACCTACGTCGAACTGTAATACTGATTCCTTTTACTCATTTTCTTACATGTATAATTTTTTTATTTTTTTTACCTCTAATTCTTTTGTATTTTTAGGTCCAATTTCTTCAAGAAAGAAATGTTAATGTTGTTATCCGTGATGAGCGTGACCTTAATGTCATCCGTGTTTGAGAGGTAGGCCCAATTTAATTATATAGATTTTTTTTCATTCAAAACACCGTATACACCGTATATTCTTATTTATATATTTTTTAAAAACTTTCTAGATATATATATATATATATTTTTTCTTTATTCTTTAAAAAAAAATTATTTTTTGTAGGCAAAAGAAAAGGAAATTGCCAAGGCATTGTTGAAGAAAAACGAAAAGACCACCGTTTCGGGCAAAGGAAAGGAAAATGCATGTTCAGTAGTATGGCTCTTCAACATTTCCATTTAAAGTTATTTTTTTGAAATATTTATTTTGGACCATGAACCTTGATTATTATTATTATTATTTTTAAATGTAAAATTGACATGCTACTTGCACAGTGGCATATACTGTTCTTATAGTAAACAGTTTCATATAAATTTGTGAAATGTTTTTTTTTGAAGCATGCTAAAATAGCATTGTACAAAAAACATTATATTTGTTTTAAATTATTATTATTCTTTTTTGGCGTTTTGCTATTGACATGAACATCTACAAGAGAATAAAAAAGAAATAGAACAAAAAAAAGGAATGAGGGGAGGAGGGATACAAAATGAAAAAGTTTTCAATTTTTTTACAAAATATCAGAAGGAAAGGGAATTAAGATAAAGTAAATTAATAGAAATGAAAAATGAAGAGTAAAGTATAAAACAATAGAAGATAAAATTTAGGCATCTTATGAAATTAATCTTCATGTTTTAGGCACATAACAATAATGTTATATCGAAAGCTGCATTGGCTCAACGTGCATGGCGAGAACGCGAAAGAAATGATAAGGCAAGCTCTTCATATCAATTGGGACAACGTTCGCGACGTGAACGAGAGAGATCGAGAGAATTGATTCCACCAAGCACAACTAATACTCCACCGGCTCAGAAAGGAGTAATGTTTACACATCTGCCTTCGCCAAGCACATCTTTAGCTTCACAAAGGAATTGGTAAAACATTTTATTTAATTCTATAAATACATATTCTGAACCGTTAAGATTTTATTTTATAAATTTTATTTTGTACACAACAAATATTTGTAGGCCTACTCATGCAAGCCCATTCCTCCATGAGACTAGGAATATCGATGTTGTTATTCGTAATGAGTGCAATCTTAATATTATCCGCAATTCTAAGGTAAGTATAAATATCGGTGTTGTTATTCGTGATGAGTGCAATCTTAATATTATCCGCAATTCTAAGGTAAGTATAAATATCAAGTTCAACATATTCTTTTTTTGTAATCTTAATAAATTCTATAAATACATGTTATTTTTCGTATTCTGTAGGCAAAGGAAAAGGAAAAGGCCAAGGCAATGTCTAAAGGAAAAGAAAAGGCAACTTCTTTTGACAAAGAAAAGGAAAACGCATGTCCAATGGTATATATTCAACATCTTTAAAAAAATATTTATCGAGTAAAACAAAGCCAATCATATTGTTTAAGTGAACATTGATCATGTATATTTTTTAAAATGTAAACTGTGTTGTCAATTTTTTTTGTGTGCTCTTTGTTTTCTGTACACTCAAACAAAGTATTTTTAGCTCTCTTTTACATTTCCTAAAAAATAATTGTAACATTTATCAACGCCAAGAAAATCTTTATAACATCTAAGCAAAGGAACAGAGGAACATAGGCATAGAAAATATTTTTAATTTTCTTAAAATCATCATGAGGCAAGAAGAAAGAGAAAACAATAATTAAAAAATAAATTGTTATATCACAAGGCATGAAGAAGGAAAATGAAGCAAAATGGAAAAGGAAGTAGGACAAATAAAATGTAAAAATATTCTTAAAATTATCACAAGGCAAGAAGAAAAAGAAATAAAATAGTATACGATAATATTTGTATTTTAGGTATCAATGACATAATATTCACATTTTAGGCACACAATAACAATGTTATATCAAAGCTACATTAGCCCAATGTGCACAACGACAACGGGAGAAATCAAGAGAATGTATTCAACCGAGACAACCTTCTTTAATACCGTGTCGTCGTAGTCGTGCTTGCTTGGAACTAGGAACAAAGGCAACTGAGGACACTCAGTCGGCGCAAAAACGAACAATGGTTGCACATCCTTCCACATGTTCGTTCTCAATGCCAAGCACATCTTTAGCTCCACAAAGGAATTGGTAAAAGACTGTGTTTAATTCTTCAAATACATACTCCTACTATTACCATTCTATTTTAATTTACACAGAACCAATATTTGTAGGCCTACTCTTACAACTCCTTCCCTTCAAGAGGATCTATGTACTAATGAAGAATTAGAGGATATGCCTATGGGTCCAATGGTTGGTACTCGAGTACATATAAATTCATGTCATCATTCTCTTGGCAAGATGGATGTATTATGTCCTTTCTGTTCAGCATTACATTGGATGGATGAAAAATTAGTAAAATCATCTCCAAACCGTCCTCTATTCGGAACATGTTGTTCAAAAGGGAAGGTTAAGCTTCCTCTTCTTATTACACCCCTTTCACTTCTTCAAGCATTATATGATGGGAATGATGATAAATCAAAATCGTTTCGACGTTATACTCGAGTGTACAATGCAACCAATGCTTTTACAAGTCTTGGTGCTACATTAGATCCAAGAGTACTTACTGGAAGAGGCCCTACATCATTCACTATCCATGGGGAATTGCGACATCGAACAGGATCACTGCTACCACAATCAGGGCAAGATGCAGCTTATGCGCAATTGTACATATATGACCCTGATTCAGCTTTAGAAGTTCGCAATCGTAGAAATCCTCAATTAAGAAGAGATGTTCTAAAAACTATTCAAGATAGTTTATTACAGGTTAATGCATTCGTTGCTAAATTTCGCCAGGCTCATGCAATTTTGAATCAATTAGCCTTGACAGGACGAAATTTGCCTGCTCATCTCCACTACAGTTCATCGACAGATCGACGACGGTATAACCTACCAACTACAGATGAGATTGCAGTTGTAATACCAGGTGATGGAACCAAGGTTAGTGGAATGAGAGATGTTATCTTACATCTACATGGAAATAATGAGCTAATGCAAATCAATGAATGTCACCCAGCATATTTGCCATTACATTATGTTTTATTATTTCCACATGGTGAGCTTGGATGGGAACCTGGGATGAAACTGTGGGATGTTGAACGTGATCGGCCTTCAACTGATCAGCTTACTCAAATGGATTTTTATAGTTATCGTTTGTTTGAATGACCCATAGAGTATTCAACAATTTTGAGAGCTGGAAAACTGTTCCAAGAGTTTTTGGTTGATGCTTGGGCCACAACTGAACAAAATAGGTTGACTTACTACAAACTTAATCAAGGGAAGATCTGTGCTGAACTTTACCAAGATTTGACAGATATTGATCCAAATGACCTTCAACCCAATCAAATTGGTCAAAGGTTTGTTTTGCCATCTTCATTTGCTGGAGGTCCTAGACACATGTTTGAAATCTTTCAAGACTCAATGGCTATCACACGATACAACCAACATCCAGACATTTTTCTCACCATGACTGCAAATCCTAATTGGCCAGAAATTACTTCGGTATTATTACCGCACCAAAAGCCTATTGATCGTCCTGATTTAATTGCCCGTGTTTTTTAGTTAAAGAGAAAGTGCTTGATGAAGGAGATAGAAACAAACCGAGTGTTTGGTAATAAAATTGCGCATGTTTTTACAATTGAATTCCAAAAGCAAGGCCTTCCTCATATGCATGCACTTCTATTTCTTAAGGGTCCAGACAGAATTCGAACATGTGCTCAAGTAGACAAATTGGTTTGTGCAGAATTTCTAGATCCAAAAGATGAACCTATGCTTTTTAAAACTATCAAGTGTTGTATGGTACATGGACCATGTAGTGCTCGAAATCCACAAGCACCATGTATGGAAAATGGTAAATGCACTAAGAGATACCCTCGAGCATTCGCAGAAACAACTATTATGGATCAAGATGGATATCCTATCTATCGTCGTCGCAATAATGGTCAAGCTCATATTGTGAGAGGGAAAGAAGTTGATAACAGAGACATCGTACCATACAATGCATATCTTTCTAAACATTTCAATTGTCACATAAATGTGGAAGTTTGTGCCGGAATGAGATGTGTCAAGTATATACACAAGTACATTTATAAGGGTTATGATCGTACAACGATGGTGTTGGGATTGATAAATGAGATCCAACAATATCTCGATGCGAGGTATATTGGACCTCCAGAAGCTGCTTGGCGAATATTTGGTTATCCATTGCATGCAGAGATACCAACAGTTGTACGCTTAGCACTTCATTTACCTGGAATGCACCGCGTTCTTTTTAATCCTGATGAATCATTTGAAGCAATTGTTTCTAGAGCTGGCCAACAAATGTCAACTCTTACTGGTTTTTTTGCATGTTGCGCTTCTACGGAAGATGAATGTCCATTCACTTACCAAGAATTTCCACAGCATTTTGTTTGGCTTAATTCAGAAAAGAGATGGAAACCAAGGCAGCAGGGCTATGCAATCGGTAGAATGTACTTTGCTAGCCCTAATTGTGGAGAGAGATTTTATTTGCGTTTGCTATTAACTGTTGTCAAAGGACCAAAATCGTTTCAATGTTTACGCACGGTCAACAATGTTTTGCATGATACATTTAAATCAGCATGTGTTGCAAGAGGACTTTTAGAAGATGATGAAGAATGGATACAATGCCTTAAAGAGGCTGCAGTTATGAAAACTGGTTATCAATTAAGGAGATTGTTTACTATTATTCTTACTCAGTGCTCTCCGCTGCAACCATATGCGTTATGGAATCAATTTTCAATGCATATATGTGATGATCTTGCACATAAGATTCAAACATTGTTTGCCATTTCTGAACCAACTGAGGCTCAAATTGAAGACTATGGTCTATATCTTTTGAATCAAATGCTCCAAGAATCGGGAAAAAGTTTAATTGACTTCCCGCCAATGCCACAACCTTCTACAAATTGGAGTGCAGTAGTTGGTAACAGGTTGATATTCGAACATCAACAACTGCATAATGAGGCACAGCAGACAGATGCAGAAATTATTATTGATCACCTCAACAATGATCAACGAACAGCTTATGATGCAATCACTTCCTTAGTCTTTGAAAATAAAGGAACTATTTTCTTTTTGAATGGAGGTGCCGGAACAGGGAAAACGTTTTTGTACAATGCAATTGCATTAAAGTGTCGCAGCCTTGGCCATATTGTTATTACTGTGGCTTCATCTGGAATTGCATCATTGTTATTGGTAGGAGGTCGTACAGCTCATTCAACTTTTTCCATTCCGTTGGATGTATTGGAAAATTCAATTTGTGGATTTAGTAAGCAATCATTACAAGCAGAATTGTTTAGAGAAACAAAACTTATAATCTGGGATGAAGTTCCTATGCAGCATAGACATTGTGTTGAGGCAGTTGATCACACACTTCGGGACACTTGTGATAGTGAAAAGCCATTTGGGGGTATCACTGTTGTTCTTGGTGGAGATTTTCGACAAATCTTACCAATTATAACCAAAGGAGTCCGTAAGCAAATTGTGAATGCATCATTAAGACACTCTTTTCTATGGAAGGATATACATGTTTTGTCTTTAAATTTGAACATGCGCTTGAATCATGCAAATCTTGAAAATGCTAATTTTGCAAAATTCTTGATGGAGGTAATATTTCTTCAAACTTTTTCTCTATTATATGGTTCTTTTAAATTGACGAAATATATTTACGTTTATGTACTTTAATTGATTTTACTTACTATTTTATTTATTTATTTTTATAAATAGATTGGGACCAATCCTCAGGAAATTGTTAAACTTCCATCAACAATACACAAATGCCAAGATCTAAAAGACATAATCTCGGTAGTTTATCCGCAAATGGATGTGGCAATGACATCGACTGTAACATTTTTAACTGAATGTACAATTCTTTCTGCACGGAATGATGATGTCAGTGCTATCAATACTGCAGCATTGAATATTTTTCCCGGCAACACACATACTTATTTGGCAGCAGACAAGATGTCTGAAGATGATGAAATTGATCGTACTATAATAAATAGATATCCTAATGAATATTTAAATTCATTAGATCCTCCTAGGCTACCAGCTTTTAAGGTAGAGTTGAAAGTGGGTTGTCCTATAATGTTGTTAAGAAATATTGCACCAAAAGATGGACTGTGCAATGGCATAAGATTGATGGTTTCTAGATGCAATACTCGCATAATTGAAGCTCAAATTTTAACTGAAAAAAAATGTAGCAATTTGGTATTCATACCAAGGATATCCTTGACACCGTCTTCTTCAGAAATGCCTTTTCGAATGACAAGACGTCAATTTCCAGTTCGATTGGCATATACCCTGACCATTAATAAATCTCAAGGGCAATCTGTGAAATTTGTTGGAGTTGATTTGCGCACACCAATGTTTAGTCATGGATAAATCTCAAGGGCAATCTGTGAAATTTGTTGGAGTTGATTTGCGCACACCAGTGTTTAGTCATGGGCAATTGTATGTGGCCCTATCTAGATGCACATCCTTTGATCGTATAAGTGTCCTCCTTCCCAATGATGAGCCAGATTCTACTACAAACATTGTTTATCCTGAAATTTTGTTGTAGTGTTACTTATGGATCAAACCACTTTTGTCAAAAGGTACAATTTATTTATTGATAAATTTGTTTCTATTGATTACAAATTGTTATTTTTAAAATATTTTACTATATGTGTCGACTTTTGTAGGATTGGGTTAAAAAATATATGGAGCTCAAAAATATAAATACAACTAGATTGCTTCGATGGGGATGTAACAAGGTAATTTCAATTTGAAAGTGTTTTGATATATATATAAATTTTCTTTTGCTAATATACTAACTTTTTTTTTATTTTCATAAATTAATAGATTGTCGTGCATGCTCCTCACTGGGGATACATACAAGTTGATACGAGGACTTTTTGGAAATTGATGAGGCGCTCCTAGGATTTCTAAGAAAGAACAAGTTTGAATCTCATATTTATTTTTGTGAAAAGCATACATATGCTAGCTACGATCCATATTTTGTAAGGTTTCCGATCGATGTGAAATTTATTACTTACAATAGTTTTGTAAAGCCTTTTATCTATGTGGAATTTATAACTAAGTTTAGATGTATGTTAGATCATTTTCATTTGAATTATTGATTTATGCTATGAGTTTGTTTTTGTAAATGTAACACACTAGGTGATATATATTTTTTTGTTTTTTCTTCCTAATATGCTCTTGAATTAGGTTAAACAAAACTAATTATATTTTTATTTGGTTATCTTTTTATCAAGAAGGGTGTTGCATTTTCTTTGTATTACAGAACATTGGCTGGTGTGCTTAATTTATTATTTGGTTTTTTTTTTTGTATTGCAGAGCATTGGCTGGTGTGCTTAATTTGTTATTTGGCATTTTTTTTTTGTATTGCAGAGCATTGGCTGGTGTGCTTAATTTGTTGTTTATTCTTTTCTATTACATAGCATTGGCTGGCGTATTTCGTCTGATTTTTATATAGATGTTTATGTGTTGTGGGATTTACATTTTGTTGTTTGTTTAAAATCTTATGCTTTTATTGTACTTGAATTTTACGTAGCAATTATGTGTTTACTTTTCACTATTTCGTTTACCTATAAATTTGGAAAATTTATGTTCAAATTGATTTTTTCACCAAGCAACATACAATTTATTTATTTTTTATTTATTTAATTTTCTGCACAATAAACTGACCACCAAATCATAAAAATTGGTAGATTTTAACCATTACATTAAAATTGATGCAAAACTATAGCTTTGAGATCTCTCTTCTTTACTTCAACCAAAACTCACTATCTAAGAAAATGTGGATATAGAAATTTATTTGGGTACTGTTATTAGCTAGGATAATAAAATGCTTATTTTCTATTACAAATTGCAAGTGGGTTACATAAACAAAAATACTACAATAGTAAATATTTGGTGATATGATCTTTGTTTGCATTTGTGTCATCATACTACAATACTCCAAATTCTTTTCAAAAATCTAATTATAAAATTCATTTGAAAATTCAAAACCATACGGATAATCTATTTATATTTTCACCTCAAATTTTTTTTCCCAACAAATTAAATAAATTACATTTTAACCCAATAATTTTATATTCAATTAATGGTCACCGTGCCTTCACGCACGGGCATACCCTAGTAATAATACAACTAATAGTATATACGCGGGGAAGCTTCGGGGAACTTTCGGGGCAGGGCGGGGCGGAGCCGAGAAATTAATCTCCCGTCCCCGGCCCGAAAATCATCGGGAATGTGTTTTTTAATACCATCCTCGGTCCTATGGGAAATAATTTTTAAGGAAAAACTTATTTATCGGGACGGGGCGGTCCGGGTCCCCGTCGAGCCGGGTTAATATTGCCATCCCTAATCCTGAAGAGGACAAGTCAGAGTTTAGTAACTGCTGCATCGGTATTTGGGTTCTTCCTACTGCGGATTTGATCTCCTTAAAGAAAATGACATATCTGTGTCTCAACTTGATCTATTTATATCTCATTTTCTTTGCATTATTTATCAATAAAATATAATTTTTTGATATTCTCACCAACATAAACTATACATGCATTTACATCTCTCCTTGATTTATTCTCCACAAGATCTGCAGCCTCCTACCCTTCAATCTTCTTGCCTATTAAAAATTTCCCATTCTCCAGACGAATTCCACCGACATCTGATATATTTCCACTAAAGATCGTTCCTTTTTAGGCTTTGATCGATCCATCAACGCTCACAAGCGCCCTAAGGATCGTGGCGAGAGTTTTTGATAGTTTGGTACCCAAAACAGTTGATCTGAAGGCTATTAATTTAAAAATATTATACTGTAATTGAACTCTCTAATTAACAGATGGATGGAACTGACCTGACTAATCTTGGTTGGTTAGGTGGGAAATAAAGTCATTTGTGTCGATTCTTTTTGCGTAATATTATTGGTCAAAAGCATCACATGCACATATCACAATCACACTCCACTGAGCTAATATGTTGGAGATGTCAAACAATGTATACACGACATTGTCATCATATGATTCATTAGAACAAAAAATTAGCTTCCATTGTTCAATAAAAATTGATTACTATAGAACAAGCATCAGTGGTGGTACTAATTTGGCTTCCTGGCTGAATCTGAATAATATAAAATACACATTCAACAAACAAGAAAATGGGTAACATCTAGTGATTCTCTCTAAAATTTGCAGAGCCAAACACTTGGAAAACACCTGCACACCACCTTCACAGGCAAAACCGTGGCAAAACAATTTGGCCAGGTTGGTTGTCAAGGCAACAATTCAATCCTTCATATACCCGAGCATGTGTGGTATTTTAACTCGCCCCATGATCTTGATTAACAAACAATGGTGAAGAAGCTGCGAATTGTTAAGATCGGTTGGCACAACTGCAAGGACCATTCTTCATTATAGACTGGCTACGAACTTACAATTCAATTCCCATAGATCTACCATTTCATCCTGCATCTTATCTCACCTCAGCACAGGATCTGAACCAAAAACCAGCTCCGCCAAACTGCAAAGAACAATGCAAATGGAGTTTCGTTTTACAGTATTGTCATTTTATTCAAAAGCAAGGTGTCCATTATGTTTGCAAAAAAACAGGAAACAAGTTCTTTTTTTTCTTTTTTTTTTTTTGGTGTTTAATGGTGACCGGCAGTGGAGGGACGGTTGCCAGAAGGTCTCTGTAAGTCACGTGAAGTAACCATTTAGTTGCCAGCGAATCATCAGAAAGCGGCTGGACCTCGCCAGAGGGTCACCAGTCGTCGGTTGGCCAGCTATGGATGGCTGATGGCGGTGGCGGCCAGTAGGCGAGAGTGAAAACTTGTCTTGAAAACAAGTGAAAACAACTTTTTTTTCTTTTTCAAAATTTTTGAAATTTTGGAATGAGTTCCACTTTCTTGAAAACAAAAGCAATATACTAAATAAGTTTTTGTTTCCAGTTTCCACAAAAAATAAAATTGAAAGCACAAAACGAAAGCATTGGTAACTCATTTTGAGAGAGAGTGACAGAAAAGTGACATACATTGGTGAGCCAGAACCAAAATTACTGGCATCACTTGCAGATGTATTCTGGTGGTAGCCAACCGAGGCAAAACCGGAGTTGGCTGCTTGAATCGATTCTGGGGAACCCTGGAAGCTTACTGGTGAACTTCTTCCAGGGGACATTACTGCAAATAAAGCAAACAAAGCAGCATATTGCATAAATAGTAGACAGAAGTTTACAACTATGTTGATTTTAAAAGGATCAATTCAACAGTACTTATTAAAGGAACAACAATGGTTTTATAAAAAATATAAATAAATTAAAAAATTAAACAAATCTAGAGTGTAACAGCATAGTTCAGCAAAGGAAGAGAAAAATAATCAAGGTAAAGCTAATTTGACAGATTACAAATGGAAGAATTTAAGATTGGGATATTGGAATTGCCAAATCTGTGAGAAAACACATTCCACACATACATCATTTATCAGAAGGATATATTTCGAAAGTGAACCCGAGGAGGTTCAAGTAAGTAAACAAAAAGCCTCAAAAACAACTTTGACAGCATTCCACATTTGGATATAATGTTTCATATCGAGATGGGCTCAACAACAAACAGCAAACAGCAAACACAGATGCCACTACTTTGGTGACCTAATTTCATGTCAAATGAAGGAAACATAGCAATTGGACTGTGTGAAGGGCTGCATGACGTGTTGTTACTTTCATTTTGTTTTTTACGTCTTTGGAGGATTCCTTGTCCTCTAGTTTCTTGTAATCTTTGCTTTCATTAATAATAATATTCTTCTTTTTTGTTGTTGCCGATCAAAAATAAAGAAAGAAAGAGCAATTGGACAAGCTAAACTATCCCCTACCAACACAGAACTACAAGAAAAGAAAAGAATGATCACACATTTAAGTCAAAATCACAGTCCAACAGGAAATATTACCTTGAAAGATTACGATAAGACAGAAGATAATGGTGAACATCATGGCAAATAAGTTGCCAGTTGATGTTGATGCCTTTTCAACTTTCATCTTCTTCAATGCCTTCATTCGCTTGATCCTTGCACATTTGACCATAGCTAGTTCTGAGATCTCTTTGATTAGCTTCTGATCAGCAGCATCCAATGATAGAGCTTTGGGAGGTCGAGGAGGTCTGGGAGGCTTTTTACCACTTGTTTTACGTCTCTCCTTCCCTGATTTAACCTCCACAAGATCCACAGCCTCATCCCCTTCAACCTTCTTGTCTATTAAAAATTTTCCATTCTCCAAAGCAATTCCACCGACTTCTGATATATTTCCACTCAAGATCGTTTCTTTTTTTCCTTTGATCGATCCATCAATGCTTAGAAGCCCACCAAAGATATTTGTGAGAGTATTTGATATTTTGGTACCCAAAACAGGGTATGTACTTCCCACGTCTTCACAACTAGCCCCACCACTCTCAAGATCGACATAGAAATCTCTATCTCCTCGATTCATGTGATCCATTACAACATTGATCTTCGGTTTCTATTCCCTTTCCAACTCTAATTATCTGCTGCCAATACCAAAAATTCAAATACTCACCACCTGCAACTTCAAAAGTCCAACACTGACAATAATAAACTCTAATTCACAACCACGACCAATGATTCACATCTGAAATTGATTCTATTTCAACAAGTCGATTCTAACTTCTTCTATCTAAACTCAATACCCTTGAAAAAAATCCTCCATTTGTCTCTCTTCCAGAGTCAAAGTCCCCTCCAAACCACTCACCAAAAAGGCCACAAGATTCAAGTTATGAACAAAACCCAGAATGCATTATCAAACAGATGTGTAATTAATTGAAAATTTCAACAATACACACTCTATGATGCAAACTGAAACTAAAATTTGTAGACTAATAAAAAAAACATAAGCTTGAGTTGACAATGCAAGCTTAGCAAGAAATCGAATACATTTGGGAAGAAAGCAAAGGAACAAAGAATCAAAGTAAACACAAAATTGAGATCAAATCCACAAAGTGTGGCAAAAGAACACACTACCACCCATCAAAATCATAATCTAACACAGCAATTACAAGATACAATACACATTCACACACTCACATATATATATATATATATATATCTATATATATAAATGTGTGAAAGAAAGGAAATACCTGGGAAAGAAAGCGTAGAAGCACTAGATCCAATAGGGACAAGAGGACAGAGAGAGAGAGAGAGAGAGAGAGAGATAAGGATGAGTGCACGAGGGTTTTGGGAGAATTATTACAGGTCTATTGTCAGGGAAATTATGGCTACTGTCAGGATAGTGAAGAACATTTGATGCTTATAATAGTTGCACAATGGTCCTGAAAGAAGATAGAATTGTTCTGTCAATAGCCCAATAAAGTGATATTGCCAATGCGAAGATCGTAGCAAAATCCCACCGACAAGCAGCAGAAATAGTCTGGAAGTGGTGGGTGGGTGCCGTATATTTCTCAATTTTTTATTTTTTATTTTTAAATTCCTAATTATTTTTAAATTTTATTAGAAGCTCTAATTTTTATGGATGGGCTAATTAAACATGTGATTAGCCAAGAGCTCTAATATTTTCCTTTTAGGGCCAGGCTTATCCGATTGGAACGTGCTATTGAGCCTATGGAGGCTTACCACGATCCTATTTTGATAATTTGAACTGTTAATATGTAAAATTTGTTGAATATTTTATTCCTGTAAAAAATCGCATTGATCAAATATCTATAGCTGCTTAATTCAATCAGATTTCTGTCAACGGTAAGTATAATTTTCAAAATAATTTATTGACAAAAATCTGATCCAATCAAGTAGCTACCAATATTCAATCAATATGATTTTTTACAGGGATAAAATACTCAACGAGATTTACACATTAACGGTTCGAACTATCAAAACAAAAGCCCACAAGCCCAACAGTATAAGCTGGAGACAAACTTAGCCCCCTTTTTTTTTATAGATATTGTCATTTGTGCTCTCTTCTTTAACCAGTAGTGGTTTAGACTCCCTCAAATTTCAACCCCCATTACCCCCACACATACGTGGCAGATGGTGATTGGAGGAGGAAAAAAAAAAAAAAAAAGTGACCAATCAAAAAAGAAAAGGGGTCAAAAGGGGGTGGGAGAAAGAGGGTTCCAATCTTTATTCATTCTTTAACTAATACACTAGTTTTTTTTTCTCTTTTTTTGCCATATGTACTCTTGATATTGATCGGAATAAAACCATTAAACCCTCGTTTGGGAATTAGTGATTTTAGTAATTTTTTAGTTAAAATACAAGGTAAAAAAAAATTGTATGTTTGGAATGACCTTTTAGTTTTTTACGAAAAAATGTGCAAAAAGTAAAAAAAAAAAGAATCTTTAACTTTTTTGTACTCCCTCCGTCCCAAAATATTAGTCCCTTATTCCATTTTTTATTGTCCCAAAATATTAGTCCCTCTTCAAAAATCAAGTACAAAAATAATGTAAATTTTTTATTTTGCCCTTCTTTTAAATTAATAAATAATATAAAAAGTATAATTATGACATTGATATTCCCAAAAAATGTACTATCAAAAGGGTAATTTTGGAAAATCAACTTTTTTCAAATGCAATAAATGTGCTACCAAAAAAAAATTGAATTTCCCAAAAAGAACCATTATTTTGAGACGAAATGAGTATATATTATAAAATTTTTAATTTTTTTAATAATTTTTTTGTTTTTAAACTGGCTTGGTTTGGGGTACACTAAATAATACAAAAAGTCAAAAAATCACTATCCCATTTAAGTCACATCATTTTATTTAAATCACATCACATCTCTAACACATCACATCAAACCCAACACATATAAGCCAATAAATCAAAAAGTATACTTTTTTAGAATATCCCAAACTAACCCGTAATTATTACTACCCAAACGAGACTAAAGGCTGGATAATTTGATAAAGAAAACCATTAAAGGCACGATTTTTTATTTTATTCATGATACAATTAAAAAGAAAAAATGAGTATATACCGATTCAAAGGTGGTATGTGAATACATTACCGTTTTATTTTATTCCTTAATTATGGGAAAATGCATTTGCAAACTTGATTAAAAAATATATATCAGTAACTTCGATGAAATGATAATTTTGGGGGATAAAAACTGTAATAGTTTTTGCACGGATAATGTTACCTTAATATAAAAAAATTCATTCAAATATACAATAATAATAAGAAAAATTAGTCTTAGGTCCCTCTCCCATTTTTAGTAATGAAAAAGATCCACAATATTATTTTATAATGTCTAAGGTCCCTCAATCCTAAACTCATGTATCACTGAAAAATTTGTGTTTTCCGAATGTTGCTTCATTTTGCTTCTGTTGCCCATTTGTATATATGTATAGAGAGAGAGATTAGGGTTTCTTCTACGATGAAATTTGACTAATCAGGTCACCAGTGACATGGTGGTCGACATTGGCAGCAACATCAGTTGTGAGAAAAAAAAAATAAGATGAGAGAGAGACCTCTGTTTGGCCCTCATATGGAACTCGACAGAGCGGAACTCACACTCACTGTCACCGTCGTTGTCACAAGTGTGGCGTCCATCAACACCAGTCGAGATCTGGCTGGAAAGTCAAGATATGGTCCAGATATTGTTCAGATCATGCAGGATCTCCTCATCAGATTCGAATACAATGTGATTTTGCTGAGGAGGTTTGGAGGGGAAGCTGGGTTGTGTAATCTGTGGGAATAAGGAAGAAATTGCAACTTTGTTGATTGTTGTTTGAGGTGCCACTCAACTCCTCACTCTCCTAGTAGTTCACATTGATGGATGGTAGATATGTAATTCAAGTCATTATTGCCAATAGAAAATCTCTCTTGTTGTTACTATATTGAATAGAAGGAAAATAAGGGTGTAAAGATGTCAAAACTTGTACTGCATTTTATATGGCAAAGATGTCAAATTTCTCTGCATTTTCTCTGATTGTGAACTCAAAGAAATTTCAATTTTCTCTAGTTTGAACCCAGAGAAATTCTTTGTTTAAATTTCTCTAGTAGGTCTTTCTTGTTCAAATTTCTCTGGTATTGGATTTTCTCTGCATTAGCAATTTTTTTAACAAAATTGAAATTTCTCTAAAGAGAAACAGAGAATTTCTCTAGGTTTGAAATCTACTTTTCAACTCCAAATTGATTGTTCTTATTGCATTTATGGTTTTAACTTTGAATTTTCTTTGCATTAGCGATTTTTTTCAACAAAATCGAAAATTTTCTCTCTAGAGCCAATGTGTGAACCATGGAACACATTTTGCCTGAGATTTATGACTTTTAACCAGAAAAGATTGTGAGGGGGTATTTCTCTGGGTTAGAGAGGGGGATTTTCTCTAGTTTGAGTGATTTTCTCTAGGGTGGAGGTGAAACTTTCTCTGGTTTTGAAGAATTTCTTTGGGTTGATGTGAATTTCTCTGGTGAGATTTTCTCTGTGAATTTTGTTCAAATTGGAGTTTCAAAAATTAACAATTTTGTTCAAGTTTGGAGATAATGACAAAGCTTCTTGGAACTACTGTTTTCACTGCAGAGTAACTAAAATTTGAAGATAGCAGCACCACTTGACGGCTTGGAAGCAAAAACATAAAGACCAAGATCACTCCCATCGATCACCCCTTTCTCCATTCTTGATTTATAGAATTGCTTCTGAGAAACACATGGAACCCCGTTAATACCTTTTGCTGAAAACTAGTTTGAACGGAATCTGGAGCAGAAGATTGGAGTTTTTTTTTGGGTGAATAAGAGAAGATTGGAGTTGGTAAAACAGAAACTAACCTTTAAGTTGAGGATGAATTCTGATACGATAGACTCTTTCACCAAAGCGACAGCACAACCGCCCCATCCAGCTCCCGTAAGCCTTGCTCCCAGAGCACCATTATCGCGACAAACCTTTACAAGTTCTTCCAATTCTGGGCAGCTACAAGAACAATAGAAACAAATAAGATATACAGGTCAAACTTGTTTAATTAATTTGGTTTAGCTTTCAAAACCTCTTTTTTAAAATACTTTTTTGGCAAAAGGAAACACCACACTAGTTTGAAAACGAAGAGTTCTTTTATAAAAAAAAAATCATAAAATAGATTTGAAAACTAAAAACAAACAGAGATATTTGAAGGATGTTAAAACCTACCATCACCTACTCCACCTACTACACTTACCACCACCTACTACCATCTATTACACACCTACCACTACCACCTACTACCACCTACTCCACTACATCTCCTATATAAGGAACCCCTCACCATTTGTAATAGATAACATACAACATTCAATAATACATCAATTTTAACATGGTATCAGAGCAAGGTTAAGCAGTTCGTATTTTTCGCTTCACCGGCGGGCGGCAACCTCGCCTTGGCCGCCCGCCGGACCTCAACCTAGTCTGCTAGAATTTTGCTACACATACCTTCACTTTGCTTCACCACCAGTGCACCACTTACCACCAGTGCACCACTTACCACCACCACATCCGTATAAATACCAACCATTTCCACCACCAGGGAAACCCACCAGATCGGATGTCCATTGCCCATGTTGGAGCTGATTTGGGATTGTCTTTCAGTAACTGGTGTGCATGTGCATAAGCCATTACTCTTTCTCTCTTGAAGATTGCTTCCATTTTTCTATGCATCCTTGCCTCTATTTCCTCTTTTGTCAGCAAGCTATCATCCCATTCCTCCTGGAGACCTGCCTCAGACTGGGTTGCAGTCCATTTGCCCGAGCTACTGTCCAAGTCCTTGTCATTCTTGCAAGCTTGGCGGCGTTGGATAGTCTGGTTTTCTCCATCCAGCACGTCATCGCCTCCGCCGTCCGATCCAAACCCTCTCCCTCATCATCATGTAACCATCTCTCTCTCTCTTAAGGAGAATAAAGACGAAAAGAGAAAACAAAACAGGGGGGGCTCTCTCTATCTCTCTCATCTCTCCCCTCAACGTCCTTTCTCATCTCTCCCTAATCAAGATTGAACGTCGAATTACTGTAAGCAGAGCCATTCGTGATGTGGAGACTGACCAGTTGCTAACTGGATTGCGTCTGCTTCGATCATATTTCAAGAAGGAACAGCTGCAGACTCCTGTGCTGCAATTTTTCAAGGAAAACCTTCTGAATCTGTCAATTGTAAAAAAAAAAAAAAAAAAATGGAAAAGATGGACAATATGCAGTGCAGTGGAGGGATAAAGAAGGTAACTTATCAATGAACCAGGCTGGAAGAGACATGCACAAACAGAAACAGCACAAGTCTCCAACCCATACTTTTTCTTTTTCCTTCTTTCCACGCACTCTTGTTCCCCACTCATATTTTTTTTATTATTTTACTCCTCCTTTTGACACGGACACGAACCACACACTGTTTTGCACACCCATCATCTTCTTTTTCCCTTAGTGGTAGGACCCGCCCCAACAACTTTGAATCTCCCCTTTTTCTTTTTTGTTTTTATTTTTTATTACTTTAACCTTCCGAAATTTTTCTTCACCTTTATCCCACACTTCATTTTATTTATTATTATTATTCTTATTAATCTTTTTTTCATTATTATTTCTTAAAAAAAAATAAAAATAAAAATAAAAATGAAGCAGATGAACTGCACACCAAACTCAACCTCATTTTATTCATGTCGGGGCTCCCCCCGATCACAATTTTACACAAAAAAAAAAAAAAAAAACAAAAAAAAACAAAATAAAGAAAAAAAAAAAAAAAAAAAAAAAAAACAAAAAAAAACACATTTTTTTTTTTTTACCTCATGAGCCTCCAATCTATCAAGCTCCTCTCGCAATGACTTTACAACAACAACCGATGAACTAGATTGAGTGCGAGGAATACAACGATAAGCCTGAGGCTGGTTTTCTGTATAACTTAAATTTGGATGGGTTCTAGCACATATAAAATGTTCATAGATCTAAGCCTCCAACAGTGTCATGTATCCCACTATTTGTCTGACAGTAAACTTTGTTGCCATACCCAATTGCCGATACAAAAAACCTAATGAAGTTGCACCCCAAGCATACGAATGAACTAAATTCAAATCCTCAAGCAACTGGAGATACGTTTGTGACCGCAGTCATGGTTTCCACACATGACTTCAATGTATACTGATTGGCCTCCACATCCGATTGCACTGCCATTCTTTGCTCCACAGACCGCATAGGAAAGTTCAACGGAGCAAACTCCGGGGCGCTTGGTTGAGGTTCCAGTGCCACCGCACCAGTTATCTCTCTTGTTGACTCGTTGAGGTCGGGAAAGAGAGTGAGCAGACCACGGGACGAAGAGGCCATATTCTGGGTAGCTGAACGGGAAGACGAGGCCATGTTATGGGTTGCTGAGTGTTTCAGAGAAGGGTTGGTTACAGAGTGTTTACAGAGTGTTTCAAGATTTGCAGCTCTTAGCGACAAGCTCTCAGAGAACGAAGAGGTTTCAACTGGTTTGTTATGCTTCCAAGCCTCAGCCTCCGCTTCGGTTTATAAAGACCATGATGAAGAGGCAGACACGCGCATTATGCGCCGCTCGGCGCTAGACGACAACATAGGCGCGCCTTTTGATGGCACGCCTTTTGATAGCACGCCTTTTTATGGATTGGGCACGCCTTTTGACAGGTTGGGCACGCCTTTTGAGGGTGCGACTTTTTAGGGGTCCGACAAGACTCTGTAAACTGTCCCGACATTGATTCCGGTTAGCTCCTTCATGGGTCCGACAAGACTCAGTAAACTGTCACAACAACTGTCACAACATTGTCTGCTACAACGGTCCGACATGACCCCATAAACTGTCTTCTACATCGGTCCAACACGAGCCAGTGTCTTCTACATCAGTCTGCCATAAACATACAGTCTTCTACAACGGTCTGACACGACCATACAGTGTCTCCTATCCATTTTTTATTTTTCAGATTATTTTCTTGTTTTGTTACTCTCTCCAAACTCAAGTTGATTAGTTCCTATCCCCCTTGAGTTTGCGGGGGACTGTTAAAACCTACCATCACCTACTCTACCTACTACACTTACCACCACCTACTACCACCTATTACACACCTACCACTACCACCTACTACCACCTACTCCACTACATCTCCTATATAAGGAACCCCTCACCATTTATAATAAATAACATACAACATTCAATAATACATCAATTTTAACAAAGGATGTAAAAGGCGGTCCTCAAGCGGTGTCTGAAGAATCAAACCAGAGGATTCCAATCAAGAGTAACATAGGCACACACTGTCATGTTGACATATCATTTTCTCATTGCATAACAACACAATAATGAAGTAAGAGTTTTCCAGCATAGGTTATTTCATTATCTTTGGTTTTCGCTGTCAAACTAGAAAACTTGTATAGGTTGTGCTTATATCCCGGGGCAAAATGTGAGGGGAGAAAAGGGAAAACAGAAACAATTATAAAGAGCCTCGTTACGCTACAAATGTAAAGGCAATCTTGCGTGAGGAATTTACTTGTTCAGCAACATATGTTATACACATCATATAGCATAACCAGATCTCTCATATCTGAGGGTATATCACATTCAAATTCTCCCTAGTCACTATTGTGGGAGACCCTAAGTGTCATTTAGTGCAGACAAATTTGGAAAGCTGGAATAGTACCTGCACTCATAGAGAACGCTGCAGCTATAATGACTTTCATTCATAAGGTCACCAAGCTTCTTTAACATGTCCTCTTCACTGCAATAACAACTTCTTGGAAGTTAGATCAAGGAAACTAGAAAATGGTAACTATCTTCACTTGGTTCATTAACCACAGTAATGGCAGGTTCATAAAGCATTGGGGTTTGATTTGTACAAAATAAAAAGTTGCATGTCGAACCAGACAGAAGTGACCTAACATTTTAAGTTCCACTATTTCGGCTGTTGAGGAAATACATTCAAATATATCTTAGGATGGATAACCCAATTGGAACACACACAAGAAAAAAAAAAAAAAACTATTATGGGGGTGCTAGGAGAGGTGGACTCAAATTATTAGTATTACTTGTACAAAGTACCATTGTACCTTTTTTATTATTACGCATCAAATAGGGTTACATAAACAAATATGTTAAAAGGAAGTTTCAACCACATTCAACTCAAGTCTGCAATTTTTTTAGGAGTGTGTGTGTTGGGATGACGACAAAGTATGGAGTGAGAGGGTGTGGGCAAACTGGAGAGGAAGGAAATGGTGAGGACCACACGTGCAAGAGGAGGAGAAGGTAGTGGTGCTATGATGGTGGAAAGAGAGAGATGAGTTCTCAGTTTGAAGAGAGGAAGAGGGCTTGAAATTTTCTGTCACTTCCCCAGGAAAATTCTGGAGCAGAGAGAGGGGGGGGGGGAGGAATTGTTCGGTCACAAAGATAGGGGAAATAACTGCAGTTAGCCACTCTGACATGGGAGTTCAGTTTTATTTCAAAATTTTCATGGGAAGTCGGTGTAATTATCCCAATTTTTTATTAGTTAGACCTCTTTAGGCTACTCAACAAGCCTCCCATTTTTATCAAACAGTAAGAGAATGAGTGCTTAATAAACAAGTATTAGGATACATCATGAGCTTTCAAAGCAGCAAAGCAAGTGCCAGGGCTTATCTGAAAGCTTGGTAAGGATTAATCTGATGTTGAAAATCTACTGCAAATCATAAGCATAGATAGCATAAATGAAATAATAGCTTGTGGTACTGATTCAACTGAATATGTAACTCACCTTAAGTTTGATGAAACAGTGTCCTTGAAAGCATGTACACGCTTGGCTTCAGAATACACGTGAGAAGCTCTCTGAAAATCAAATGTTAAACCAAGTTTAGTAGTACACTGACATTTAAAAGGAAGAAATGGTATGGGCAAAAGTTTTATATCAACCAGAACGCCAACAAGCCATTGGTAAGTTTCATGCTTACAAGGTATTAACACACAAAATTACATATGACTGGAAACTATTTGCAGGTAATTTCTGCAGATATAAACCCGGATGCATTGCGATAGAGAGCCAGACCTAGGTAATTATTTCTAAATCCCTACTCAAATTCGTGATCTCCAAACACAACCTAAAAGAAACACAAATCAATATAACCAAAACTTCATCCCAAAAATACATCAAGAAAAATGCAGGTAATGCACATATGGAAGAAAACTTTCCATAAATGGCTCCTTCTACCCACCACATTTAATCCAGGATTTGAAGGAAGAAAAATTAGCAAACATTCACCCTTATGAATCCAGATGAAATTTTAATAATAATTCATAACTAACAAAAACAGAGATGGTGGATAACAGCATTCTGTGGATAACTCAATCATGATGTTGGAATAAAAGCTAGTGTAAAACAAAGTTACCTGGAATAACTTATATTGTCTGGCCACTTTTAGCACATCCAAAGAAGTTGGAGAATCGGCAAAGATTGATTGCAGGTTTTCCTCAGTGATTTTCTCAATATTTTCAGCTCTATATGGTTCTTCACTCAAAAGTTCCTGTGGCAATGACACAAGCTACTATAACCTAATACATACAGGTGGATAAAAATGTTTATGTTTACTTGGAAAGAACAATAAGTTACACAAATCCATAATCTAATGAGCCTCTAATGGTGTTATACAGGTACACACAAAATCCATGATCACAACCACCTCTAATGGTGTTGCACAAAGTAGAGGCATCATTAAAAACAAAAACAAATGATTAAAACAGCCTTGCTGCAGAAAATAAATAAATAGATACCTTCACAGCAACAACTGGATCAGAAGATCCACGACTGCTAGCAAATGATACACAAGACCCTTCAACATCAGAAAGAGTTTTCAGTTTGGATATTGCCTCTTGAGGTTTCATTCCGAGCTTTATACCGAGAACAATCTGCAGAAGCCTCCAATATCACGAGTACAATACATGTTTCACAGCAAAAAGCTAAAAGCATTTGGAAGTCTAGAAACTATTGCATTGGAGGACAATTTAGATAATAGACCTTGTAGATTTTAAAATTAGGAGCCTTCGCAATGGCTATTGAATCCATAGACTAATGCTTTAGGTCATTTTGATAGAAAATGCAATATAAAGTTTTTTTTTTTTTTTTTTGATAAATAACAAACAACCAAATTGCAATATAAAGTAAAATATACACCAACTATCAAAAAATAAAATGAAACAAAATAAAACTTACAGCAGCTAAACGGCATTCAACAACCCGATTATTGTAATTTGTAGCAGCAGTGACTGCTTTCTGGGATTCGGCCAATGAATGTGCTATTACAAAAGAACCACCAGCAGGAAGTTGCACATCAGTTGCACGAATGGGATTGAAATCAATCAGCTCCGCAAACCCAGATTGAGCCATGACAGAGATAGCCTGCAAGGTGAATCAAATTATGGACTGATAGGTTGTGGCCAATCTGACCCAAACAAAAATAATATGAATATGTTTGATAGTCATTAAAATAAACTGATCTGAGACAAGGACCTGACTAAAATCCTACCTAGACTTGTCAATGACAAAAGTAACACTAGCCACCAACTTAACAAAGGACTTCTTCCTTAGAATGTATTGAAAATTAGCAAGTTGCAATATACAAGAGAAATATGTTTTGTAAGAGTTGGAGTATGTTTGGATGATGTCAAACTATTGAGAGTAAAGCCCTGAAGATTCAGGAAAACTATAATAAAATTCAAGAGCGTGTAATGGAGGTTATGTAACCTGGTCCATGCCACCAGATTGTGTCCCAATATGCCGTTCACATTCACATGCAAGCTGTGCAATTTCTTTCTGTAAAATAAACAATGACATTAGAATCAGTAAAAAAATAAAAACAAAAAAGTTTTCACAATATGGACATTTTACTGTCAATTAGTCTTCATCTACCAGACTGTAGAATGGAAGTGTCTCAGTTGTACAGAGCAAATGTGGAAGTACAAAATGCACAATGTAGCATTAAGTAACTTTATAAAGACGGAGATCCTAATGTCAACACCAGATACTCTAAATGCTCTCACAAACAAGCATTCAAGTTCTCAAAAAAACCAGCACCAATTTATTTAACCAATAATGCATAGTTATTCTTCAAAGACCCTGAATGCTTTTATTTAACATGTCCAGTACAATTAAACAATAAACAGACAGATAATAAATATCTTAAGCAAGGAACAGATTTTCAATAAATAGATGATTTTATGAGTTCGATGTATTAATGAACATTGCAAGTCCTTCATACAAAAAAAATGCAAAATCATACCAAAGAACGAAACAAAAATTTTCATGGATTGAAGTTTGAGCAACAGACATGGTGTAGAACGTTACTGCTTTTCTTTTTTTTGAGCATCAACAAGGGAATTTTATTAATAAAAAGGCATGAAACAAAAAGAGAACAAGGAGTCCTCGAACAATGAAAAGAAAACAAAGCAAAAACAACAAAACAAACTGAAAAACAGAGGAAACAAACTGTAGAACGTTACTGCTCAGTCTATATGAAATTCTGAGGCATCTATTACAAAAACAGAGGAAACAGAAAATAGTTCCTCTACAGCTATGGAGAAATGGTTGGAATACCTTTGGAAAGTTCACGTCAAAGGCAGCCATTATAGCAATTGTAGAAGAGCAAACAAATGCTGCAGAGCTAGATAATCCAGACCCTAGATGAAAAGTAGGCAACTCAGATTTGTTACATTCTATAAAACAACTGCCGGTTCATAAAGTATTAGTACAATGGTTAAGTGATTTTTTTTATCAAACAGCCTTCATAAGGACTTAGCATGAAAATCCAGAGAAATTATACCGGTAGGAACTGTTCCATCAATCATGACATCAAGTCCAACTGGTTCACCAACATCCAAACCTTTTGATTTCACATACTCATAGAAACCCTTATACCTGCAGATCACACACCATATCAGATCTCCAATAGTGGATATTAAGCAATTCCAAGAGAACAAAAATAATCAACCAACAAACTAGGTGCTTATTATAATATGCAGTTCAAAAGCAACACATAGGGTCTAACTTCATTTAGTACTCAAAAGCTAATAATTTTAAATCCAATTTGTTGTCTATATAGTGGGCCGATATCTCTCCTCTATAGCCAACAGCAAGTTTTGAGAACTCACCCACAGATGAAATAATGACCCCATCTATGATTTTTCAGATCAATATCCTGCAAAAAGAAAAGGGTAAAGCATGTTTACATGACATAGGGTTCCTTTGCTAATGAAACAAGGCCATTATGACAAGAAAATTAACAGCATTACAAAAAATTTGATCAAAATAGATCCTTGACATAGTGGAGTATGTTCAACAATCAAATTCAGTTTGATGAATGGATGGACGGCAAATCAAGGACCATAGACAGGAATTCAACTACTTATTTGAAGAACAAGAGTATGAGTAACTAAAAACTTAAAAAATAAAAACTTCAAGCGCACAAAGTAATTGGTTTCATAAGAGAAGGTAAGTCATGCTATAAGGATAACATCATGAAATACGGGTACACCTCTGCTGCTATTTTTATTCCTTTTTATTTTATTGAGAGAGAGACAGAGAGGTGCATACAAGCAAACATTGATGTTCTTTCTGAGATCCACAACCAAAATCCTCAATTCTCAGATTTGGTAAACTAAATAGATTTCAGAAATAAAAAGTGATGTATTCAAATGATCAATTCCATTCTCATCGCTTAATTGAAAAGAGAGAGTAGGGGGGGAAGCATTCAAATGAGATGGTCTGACTCCTTTGCCCACAATTCACAGCTTTCAACGAACCCATCAATAGATTGCAACAAATCAATCGAATATATTAAGAGCAATTCTTCAATAGAGATTACATATTAAGGACATACAATAAGTTTTTATAGGTTGTATTTAGCCTGTCTAATCATCATCTGTGTTGCAGATTTATTGCCGGCTCTTGGTTCTAACATGAAGAAACATTGGGTATAGCAATTTAACACTGTTCTTTACTTCTTCTCCATCTGTAGTCATTCGCTCTGACCTGTGTTCTTCTATATCCTGTAGTTTACATGGATCAAGCCAAGTATCACAACTTTTTGTTCCCATAACTCTTCCTCCTCATCCTGGCTTGGCCAGAAATATAGTAGTCTCACAACAACTTTGAAAATCCAAGTCCCACATTATCTTGAAATATTTAACCAAAAACACAACCTTAAACTTTCTCAGTTTCGTGACAAAGGACAGCTGATGTCATGGAAATCGGACTGGGTTGTTTGGGAAGAATGTTTTTTAGCCAAAAACTATGTCAAATCATTCTCTTTACTTTTTTGCACATCCAAAAAGTCACTATATAAGCCAATTCTCAAATGAGACATCAAACACACCATCTCAATCAAATAACAATCCAAATGTGTTCAACCAGTCAAAGTACCATACCCACCATTGTATCAACTAAACCAATCCAACAAACTTAAAGATCACACATTTATAGTAATATCAGCCCAAATATCTAAAAAAATCACCATGCAACAAAAATAAGCAATTAATCAAGCGAACGGGTACACACACATCATATATACAGGCTTATTATAATTTGTACCTGGTTTGGATCAGCAGGATAAGTACAGAGAGGATACTTATCGCTAACATTGGCAATCAAAAGACGCTTTTCGGGCTCCCCAGCATCGCGCTTTCGGATTGCGACGATCGTGTCTTGCCGAATCGCCATCGGAAGCACCGAGTACCCTTCATAATCAATGTGTTCCCCAATCAAATTCACTCGCCCTGAAACAATCAATTCAAATCAAACTCATACATGTAAACATACATATATGTGTGTGTGTGTGTGTGAGAGAGAGAGAGAGAGGAGAGGGAGGGGGAGGGAGAGAAGGGGACCTGGAGATCGGGCGAAGATATGGGGAGAGTGTCCGAAGACTTGGATGAACTTGGATTTCAAGTTTTCGAATCGAAGCAGAGCTTCTTGGAGCTGAGATTCGACTCCGTAGACTGGTTCGAGTGTTTCGTAGATTGGGATTGGAAGATCTTCGTGTCTCGCCATTTTCGACACGCTTTTGTTTGCTTTGACTTGACTTGACTTGACTTGTGATTGAATCAGTGAAGAACAAGAACAAGAACAAGAACGAGAACGAGAACGAAAACACAGAGTAGTCTCTCTGTTGTCTCTGTCTCTATCTATCTGAAACCGAAGCACGTTTTACAATTTGTGGATATGCTGAAGGAAAAATGCTGAAGGCATATTTGTTTTGGGCAGACTGATTTGGTTGGATTAGTATTCCTATCATTGATAGTATTAGGATTATGAATTGTTTTGAATTATGTATTTATGTTTGAATTGAGGTGGGATTACAATGATAATAAATTAATAAAATATTATTTAATTTGATATTTGTTTAAGAAAATTAAAATAGATAGGACATAATCGAATATGGAATATTTAAGTCAAGTTTAACAAGTTGAAAAAAAGTCAAAAGGTTAAAAAGTTATCACTATTCACTAAAAGTCAAAAATTACAGCTGCACAATCAATCTTAATTTTTTCCTACACATTAATTTATACAATTTTTTAATACATATTTTTTCATAAAAAGTCAAAAAATTAACTCAAACAACCATATTTTTTTCCTCAACTTTTTAATCCAAAAAGTTAAAAATTACACTTATTTAGGACATATCAAGCAACCCCTTAATATATAGATCATAATATTTTTATTATGGTCATTTGATAAGTTACTTCAGACTTTAATTTGGTCTGTCAATATTTCACTCTTATGTTGGATTAAATAGTTCATCATATATGGGATACTATATTCGCATATATTGTTAGTCCGTACTTTAATTTTTTAACCAAACATCATATTAATAATTATATTGGATTCAATCCTAAACATATGTCCATCCAAACAAACATAGCAACAATGCTAGAGGCCAAAACTTCTGTCAAAATTTGTATCAAATGCCTTTTACATCATGTGAAATATTTATAGTAAAATTTTTAAGATATGTTTGGATAGATTTTCAAACTATAATTTTATCTTTACATTTCAATGTCGTGCTAAGAAAACTTTGCATAAAATTTTGTGTTGAATAAGATTTGTTTTTTAAAAATTTGTCTTAACCGGTTGGTCAATCGGAACAGGGTAATTTTTAAATTTGTTTATTTATTTTTTGGGCAATTAACACCTTTTTTTAAATATATTTTTAATAAAACAATATTTTCGAAATTTTTTTAAAAAAATTATAAGCTTTTAATAGATTTTTGAGTTGTAAGTTTAATTATGAGTTGTAAATTTTTGTATTAGATATCATATGTCACATAAAAAATTCTTCACTCAATTCAAAACTCTTTTCAAACTCATAAGCAAATAAATTTTTAACACTCAAATCATAATTTCAAAACACATAAAATCAAAATACAACTCTATTTTCAAATCATATTTCCAAAACTCTTCCCACCGCTACCTTAGAATCTCTAGCATTTTTGTTAAGCCAATTGCACTCCTCCATCTCTAATTATTATCTTATCCGGTGAACTTTGAAATCACACTCTTCAATTATCAAAACTGCTCCATTTTTACCACTCTAAAATACTTTTTTATTATTATTTATTGAAAGGTTTAATAACATCTTCAAGGCTTAATAACATCTTCAATTGTTCACTAAATTTGAAAAAAAAAATTAATCTAATATGATACACTTTAACAGTAAATTCAAGCATGGAATATATTATTTTAGTAATTTTTTAAATTTTTTGTTAAAATGTGAGGTAAATAAATTAGTATGTTTTGAAATTTTTTTCACAAAAAATATGTGTAAAGGGTAGAGAGAAAATAAAATTTTTAACTTTTTGGTATATATTATTCGTTTTTTAATTTTTTTAATAACTTTTTTACTTTTAAACTAAAACAGTGAGTTGCTAAAGAAGGCCTAACGTTTTTTGATAAACTACCAATAGATCCTAATAGTTGAACTTAATTCCCATTAAATCCTATTGAAAATGAGTCTTGGTAAAATTATTGCTAAAAATAATTTTTTTATGACAAATTTTTATACAAGTCGGAGTGTGCAGCGGATATACCGATCCGCCAAAACCGACCGAACCAAACCGATCCACCGCATTTTAGACGAATGTGTGATGACGAGCGGACGGTTGCGGATTGATTTTCTCCAATCCACCAATTTAGCGGACGGATGGCAGATTTGAAATTCCTTTGGCCGCAACCGAACTGCCAAACCGCAAACACCCCTAATAATTTATAAGACTTTGTATTTTCAATTTGTTTAAATATTTTTATTTGTGTTTTCAATTGAAAAAAAGTTTAAATATTCCGTTGAAAAAAAAGTTTTCAACTTGAACATATTTTTTGAATTGAAAAAAATAAACGTATGATTTATCTATATTTTTTTATTTTTAAATCTAACTCTAAAAATAATAAATAGAAAATATGATATATGCTGGTTGATTTTGTTTTCAAAAACAAATATAGATGTAACAATACAGAGACATACAATCTCTACTACGGCTTTGTTCATGGTTTTGATAGTTTGAATTGTTTTATATTTTAAGAATTACAGATTGATTGTAATACTTTATGTGGATAAATCATGTTGTGATTGTAATATGTGGATGAGACATGCAGTGATTGTGATATTCTAAAGTTTCAAATTTTCTTTCTTTGAATGAGGCATACAGTGATTGTAATACTTTTTTAAGTTATTAATTGTAATATTTTTTTTTTTTTGAGGAAGTGCATAAGTTGAATTATGCTGAAAATTTATAAAATTTTAAACTGCCAAACCGATTCGCATCCATCCGCCAATCTGCTCAATTCACATCCGCCGGATTGGCGGACGGATGCGGATTGATTTTCTCCAATCCGCCAATCTAGCGGACGGATGGCGGATTGGAGATTCCATGGTCGCAACTGACCCGCGCCCACCCTTGTAAGTCGCTAAAAATTGATAAGCAGTGACTTTTTTTGTCATGATTTTTATAAATTGTAACTAAAACTTACAATTAGTGACTTTTTTATGACAAAATTTTCTCATATGATCTATTAGACAATAAATTCACTTATTAAGACCTACACGTAAGTACCCCTAAGTTTTTTTTTATCAAATCTAACCAGTCATCCTGTAACAGCCCTGATCTGTAATTAGCTACTAATCCGTATTTAACGATGCTAATGAGAGAATTAAAATAACTTATGTGTTTATTTTGTGTTTTCCATGATTTTGGCTTTCTATCTGTTACTTATAGAAATATCTGTTTGGAATTCCATTTTAATATGTAAATTGAAAGCCTTATCAGCGGCCGAATCTGAAATCGATTAATGTTTGATGCTAATTAGAATTTATGTGATTTTATGGTATGTTCAATTGAAATTTGATTTGGTATAATTAAATTAGATTAAAAAGTTGTCTTACATCAATTTGAGTTATTTACCAAATTGCCATTAGTTGACAATGCTAGGCCATCTATTAGCCTTGATTTATCTATGCTTGGCATCACTCTTCATTCATCTTCCTAGAGACAAAACTGACTAGAAAGAGAGAGAGAGAGTTAGGAGAAGATTGGTTTCAACTAGGAATTCTTGCTTGAACTTGGAAGAATTGAAGAGAGGATTGCATAATTGAGCAAATGGGTTTAAATATTGAATTGAGTAGTAAATCATGCATGCATGTACATTTTCTCACAAATTGAGCATGAACTCCAAGAATTCTCTCTTGCATGTTTGAAATTCATCTTCATTTGGGGAAATCATCAAGTTTATTAGAATTTATGTGATTTTATGGTATGTTCAATTGAAATTTGATTTGGTATAATTAAATTAGATTAAAAAGTTGTCTTACATCAATTTGAGTTATTTACCAAATTGCCATTAGTTGACAATGCTAGGCCATCTATTAGCCTTGATTTATCTATGCTTGGCATCACTCTTCATTCATCTTCCTAGAGACAAAACTGACTAGAAAGAGAGAGAGAGAGAGAGAGAGTTAGGAGAAAATTGATTTCAACTAGGAATTCTTGCTTGAACTTGGAAGAATTGAAGAGAGGATTGCATAATTGAGTGAATGGGTTTAAATGTTGAATTGAGTAGTAAATCATGCATGCATGTACATTTTCTCACAAATTGAGCATGAACTCCAAGAATTCTCTCTTGCATGTTTAAAATTCATCTTCATTTGGGAAAATCATCAAGTTTCAAGTTGTTTTGTGGTGTTTGATCATGTTTTGAGAAGTTTGATACAAGAAAAATTCATGCATGTTGTGTTCATGAACATTCATTATGTTTTAAGTTGAAATTGTGAATTTTTAACAAACTCTTGGGCCATGATTTTATGCAATGATCCTAAATTCTTCATGTTTTACAAGTTTACTATGTTATCTCAAGTTTTGGGGCCTAAGAGATGTGTTTTGAAGGTTGGAATTCGAGTTTTGAGCTTGAAGGTGCAATCTGGAAATTCCAGAATTTGCATCTACGCTCGAGTGTGGGAGTTCACGCTCGAGCGACCACTCTGAGTGCGTGCACTCCGCTCGAGCGACCAAAAGTCCGCTTGAGCGTGAATTGCAAGCTCCTAGAAGTTTCATGTCTTTTACAGATCACTCAAGCGAAGGAATGTGCGCTCGAGCGACCCTTCACATTTTGCATGTCCGCTCGAGCAAGGAAAGCTACACTCGAGCGTAGACTTTATTTTCAGAAAATATACCAAGTGTTCCAAGGCATGTTTTGGCATTCTCATTGCATCTTAGGCATTCCTAAGCCTTAATTAAGCCATAGTAATGAGGTTATGGATTAGAAACACAAGAATGTACTAAGTTTCGAGACTACAAGTGTGTGTGTGTTAGGCGTTGTGATAAGAAAGAATAAGAACCAATGTAATAAAAGCTAAGCCTTAATGGCCTCTTGAATGTGTAATGATAAGGTATGCTTGTGTTATGTATTTTGTGACTGTAGGTCAAGATTCGAATGTTGATTGACCATTGCTGGAACCGCTGTGAGTAACATTTCTGTAAAGATATGTTGATATGAATTATGTTCCAAATGAAATGTGATAAGCTATGATTTCTAAAATGATATCTGTTTACGTGAACGAGCATCCCAAGTTTGAAATCTATTATGGCATTCATAGATAGTCCCAAGTCATGGGGGACAACGTGAAAATGCAGGTCCATGACATACAAGTAATTGCGAGATCTTGTTAGCCACTTCATTGTGGTGATATGTGTTTAATCGGTATCCGGAACCGATTACTCTAGTCGAAAGACGTTCTGTGATGTG